ACACACACACACACACACACACACACACACACACACACACACACACACACACACTTACTTTGGGGTTACGTGAGCAGTAGCCAATGCAAGTACCATAATCATTCACTATCTGGTTAGTTAAAGTTCCACAGCACAGCAATATTACATCGGCCTCAGCTGGCTTTGTTATGCAGAAATACAGTCAGATGTTACCGCAATACACACTCTCTCCCCCCCTACCCCCCCTGCGGAGATGAATGTGGCAGATAGCCTAGTTTCTCTGCTTGTCTGTTGACACAGAGGATACACGAGAGACAGACATGAAAGATGAGTGGGTTAAAACTGACGGTTTGTGGCTACATGAGGCAACTGAAGTGACGCAAAGGAGGCGAGGGAAGAAGGGAGCAGCAGGTATCATTTTCCACTTTACGGAGGGGAAAGAAGGAGGATGTGTAATTGTGACGTTCAGGCGGCTCTCGAACAATCCCGTTTTAAAACACACACTTAAAAATAGTCCTATAGATTAAAAAAAAAAAAAGCATTTTACACAATCGCTCCTCATGTGGAAGTGTGCAGCTTTTACAGTAGCATGGATCTCTTTTTTTCTTTCTGAGGTGTGTTTGTTAACGTTTCCAAGGCAGTGCACCTCAAAGTCACTTTATGAGGATGTTTTAATCAATGTTACTATCATATGACCATCACAAACAAAGGCCCATGCTGCAGCTTAAGCCCTTCCCCGGTTTGGGTGTCTCATTGTCACATGACACCTGAATTCTTGTATCCTGTAGTCTTCCTGGTTGTCGGTGGTTCACAGTTTGCCCTCCTTTTTCTCAGCACAATCTGAGGAGATACCTCCCTGAAGCTTGCCAAAATCTCTCTTTTCGTGCGTTGTTTTGGAACTTATCGTCTCATTTAGAGGTTTCTCCAGATCGTAAATCGAATAGAGGGCGCACCCAAACCCCTGAGTGATATCACAGGGAGGAGAAAATATTTGTTGTCAGCCTTCCCCTCCCCTACCCTCGCCTGCCCACCCTGTAATTTCTAATCTTGGTGTGTTGTTGTGTCACATCCAGTGCACTGCAATGCTTCAGGCCCTCAGCCACTAGATCCACACGCAGAACCTCTTTAAGATCTTTTGCCCGTTTACTTTTGGCTTGTAAATGTTTGTCTTTTAGTTGCCTCTTTGAATGTTTCTCATTCAATGTATCTTCTGTTTGTCCTCTGATGTGTGTGAAACTGGTCAATAAACCGTGTGAACAGCGTGTTCCTCTGCCTCCTCTCCTCCTTACCGGCCTCCAGTTAATGGAACACAAAGCGCCAAACATGGAGGCCTTTTCATATCGCGGTGGACTGGTGACCTGCTGCGGTGCCAACAGCCCCTGCTGGTCTTACTGGGCCTGACGTCACACGCCACCTGACGCGCGCACTCAGAGCGACGTCAAGCTCGAGGTTGAGCGACGCGCAGGAGGCGACGGTGCGCCCTTCAAAGTAAAAGCACGAGAGGAATCCACTGGTGACTTCTCTCTGTGCGCAGATTGCAGTCTGAAACTTCATTCAGGGGACCTGCAAACGCCATTCAATTAAACGCGTGGTTGCAAGATAAACATTCTAGTTTGCTGATTTAGACAAACCCTCTAGGTTTGGTTCTGTTTGCATAATAATGTCGGCAACTGCACCAACTTAACATTGTGAGTAATTTAAATTAAAGTTTCTGTATTGATTGATTTTAAACTAAATTCAAGTTGTGGCAAATTAATTAAATTGGCTTTATTATCTTAACTTTTCACCACCTTGTGCCATGAAAACTTGGAAGTAACTGGTCATAAAATGTCCCTACCACAATACTTGAATACTACTAATACTAATACTTTGAATGTAATTTCATCAGCAGTTGTCTAAACTTAAAAATGCTGATGCAAGCAGCCGCATTATATTTTTTGTTATGTTTAATCATTTGTTTTTGAAGTTTGTAGGATACATATAACACAAGTATTTCCCTTTGTATTCCACTGTCTTTTATTCCACATGTTAAGTAAGATTTTTTACTACTAAAGAAATGAGTTCAAACTGGCCCCAGCATGACGAGCTACAACAGTAGAACGTCAAATGACACAATAATGCATAATTAATAATAGTAATAAAGTATTAGAACACTGACAGAAACAATTTTTCTGAATTATGAGCACTTTTTGTGACACGTTAACTACAATTTCACAGCAATACTTAAGAAACAAAAGTGTAATGCAGGATTTGTAATTGCCATGGAGCTGATTTATATTATGCTTAAGTAAAGGACCTGAACATTTCCTCCACTGCCGGTTACACATCACCTATAGATTTAATATAGGTGGTTTAAATGCATGTACTCAGGAATTATCTAAGAATAATAGCACTGGGGTTTTTCATATCATTTTACTCCCCTTATAGGTGGTCAGTCAATATACTGACTTGAGTACTTTATTTACATACAAAGGCACTTTTTCATCATAGCATGATGGGATTACTCACGACCATTGCGGCGATTAAACTGATATGATTCAATAGGTAACAGTGATGTGGTAAATGTAGGTCATGCAACATGTTATATAAAACTTGTAAAGTATTTTCTTGCAATAAATGTAGCTCAAAGTGCCTTAAATGTATTTGAGCTCAAAGGCTAAAGAAGGATCCTGTGAAAGCAGCCTAGTGGGTTGGATGGACAGGAAACATAACAAAGTGAAAGGCAGAAGAAACTCTAATGTGAAGACTGCGTTATAATATACTGACCAGTTACTTTAAAGGCATTAAGTTTTATTCTGGGGGAAAGTAAATCTTCAGTCAACACATTTTGTCTGCATAATTGAATACTTTTACTTTGAAAGCGTTGTGATCTTGATCTACTGAACTTATGTGAGGTTGACAGAACAGCCGCTCCAGAGGAGGAGGGCAATCCCTGCTTTTATTTTTCTTTCCAGACGGCCTCAGTTGAGCACAAAAACAAACTTGAACCAGGCGAGCTTTGGGTCAACACTTGCGCTGAGGTCCTCGTCTGAAGTGGAGCAACTGAAGGCGTGTTACTGACGAGATTTGCTCTGTTTTATTCCTCCATTGTTGAGAAAAAGGGAAGGGCTCTGCCAAGAAAAAAAAAAAAAAAAAAGCATTTGGAAATTAAGTTATGCGTCAGTGAGTGCGCACTTTACGCACAGGGCGCACCATGAAACTTTGAGATGCGGGATCAGCTCGCCTGTTTTGTTGTGCATGTGTTCGCCTTCATTTCCTTTGTTGGTGTCAGCTCTTCTGGACTCGCTGTGATCATGTGTCGTGGCTAAAAACTTTGAAGCAAAACCTGTGGAGGTCAGCCTGAGACAGCATGGGGGCCAAACAGAGCAGCACGGTGTTTGATGGCAGAACTCGGGCTTATTCCAGCTCCGATCTTCCGTCTGGAAACTCCGGCGCAGGGGACAGGATTGCGGGCTTCAGGTACACCAACGGACCCGATGGACCCCGGATTCGGTACACGGGTGGAGGGCCGACCAGCTCCGGGCTCAGTATACCGGCCGGCGGCCGATCAGGGTCACACAATCAGAGCCTGGATGGCACAGATGGTGACGATGAAGGCCAGCTGCCCCCTGAGGGCCACAGGCTGCTCATAGGGTCCCTGCCGGCTCACCTGTCCCCCCGCCTGCTGGGAGGTAAGACTACCACCAACATCTGGACACACTCATGCCAGCAAAGTGTCACTGCGTAGCTGTTGTTACAGAACATTTATGGTATTTTTTTTAATCTCCCGATTTCCCTATTTCACTTCAAGTACAGTTAGTCAGTGTTACTTTGGAGAGACTAAAGATGCAAGAGAATTAATGTTATTGATAAGTTGTTTATTGTTCTCAGCTAGAATATTTCACAAAAAGTACACTTTTTGCCTACAACTTCAATACTTCTTGTCTTTATACTGTATCTGTGGTACTTGATTCTGACTTTAGGCTCAACACATGCAGGAGACGGACGATTATGAGGAATCTATCAGATATTATAAACTGTACACATGACAGTTGCAGTCAGAGTTGCTTAGTATTTTTCCATCTGACATGTGATACCTGGCATATGGTAATAGCTGTCTGATGACTGAGTCCTTTGTTTGGCACTTCTGCACTTTTATTGTAACCACAGGTGGCTCTGCTGTACTGCACTGGCCTTTGTCTTGAGTCTTTCTTCATCTGCTTCTCTTCTGTTTTTTTGCAAAACAGTCGTGTTTTTCACTCCGGCTAAGAGGGAAGAGTGCATTATGTAGGTCAGCAGATAAGAGCTTCCTGCTGGTTACACATTGTCTGACACACATGCACACAAACTTCCTGAATTCGCAAATCTTGCTTTCTCGAAACCGGTGGGTTGTCTCTCTACCAGATCACAACATAAACAGGAGTCAAACTGGCATAAGAGGACCGTTACAACCTTTCAATGAAGTGAAACTCAAAAGGGAAGGAAAATAAATCAACATTCTAGCGTTTCTCGACTCTTAACTTTTCAGTTGGAGGTCTTTGGAACGACACATGCTTCTGTTTCCTCGCCTTTCATAAAAAAGTGAGCTGATTGTTTGTTCCCCTTCCTTCCAGTTACTGGTTTTACTGGTATCTAATCATTAAAAACCTCATCAGTGACCTTTGCACCGCGAGAGCCATGTGATTGTGACAGTGCAGGCCTCACATTGTGTCCACAGACTGATCCCATTTCCTCACCTCCCTTACAGACACATGACACAAACAGCGGCGATAACCGCCGCCTGCATACACGACGCGTTTGTTGTCCATTTCTTGACTGAGGTGTTACAATGTTAAACAGGAGGTTAGTTTATCTTAGGTCAAAGTAACTCTTGGCCTATTAATCTTTGAGCAGCTGAGGAGGCCTCGTACATGTGGGTCAAGTGTATTAATTAATAACTTGATTTATAGTGGCAGCGCAATAAATGTTACATTGCAGGTTAAGCATGTTTACAGTGAGTTTGTGGCGTCGAAGCAGATTGTTAGAGATTATAGGAGCAACACATGCAGGTGTTAAGTCATGTAGGTCTGCATACAATCCAGCACAAACTGTTCTATCTTGCATACATCTCAATAAAAGGTTACGAGGGAGACATTAGCCAAATCTGAGGCCTCACGTTCTCGTGTCTTTTTTTTCTTCCTCCTCCCAGGTTTTCACTGCCCCGTTTGCTCCAAGTTTATGGCATCGGATGAAATAGAGAAGCACCTGCTCATGTGTTTCAGCAAAACGCGCCTCACCTACAACAGTAAGTCTGAAGAACAGGAGATTGTTTGGTGTTGTTTTATATGATTTTATTGCTTTTTTTTTTTGCTGCACCTACCTTTTATATCCGTTAATCTCCGGTTTTACTTGTGATGTTTTGCTCAGAGTTTACATGCAAAACCAAGCGATGGCAAAGGCAAATGAAGGCACTTCAAACAGCTGAGACCAGACTACTTTGTCTGCTAGAAGTATTTGGATTCTTTTCTAATGTAAAGCAGCCATGCCACAATGTGGAAGTACTCTAGTGCTGTGGGTACTCAATGTATGGCTTGTGGGACAGATCAGGCCCGCCGATATGGTGCCGGCAGGCCCACTCACTGTTTACTAATTACCCAAGTAAACTGTCAGCGTTCAATAATGTCTTTTGGCTGTTAGCTATTTTGAAAATAAATAATTTTAAAGAAAGCTAAGTTACGGGCGTTTGAATAATTATTTATTTTATCTGATAAATAGGATTGTGTGTTTACTTACTGGCCCCTGGGTTTTGTTTCAGTGCACACAGAATAGACAGCAAATAAACCGCGAGGATTCAGTTTGACAAACTTTACTGGTTTAGGGCACCGCTATAGCTCACCTGGTTGAGCTGGCGTCCCATGTACAGGGCTACAGTCCCAATGTGGAGGTCATGGCTCCTGCTCATGACCCTTTCCCACATGTCCTCCCCCCATTCTTCTCCTCCCCTACTTTCCTGTCTCTCTCTCACTGACCTATCAAATAAAGGCACAAAGGCCAAAAAAATAACTTAAAAAAAAAAAAACAAACTTTACTGGTTTAGAATCATGGATTACTTAATAATTATTTAATGTTTCTTCTCACAATTAAATTAATGAAAATTACCGCTGTTCCCAGAAATGTCTACTTACAAACCTCTCATCCCGCATTATATATCTAAAGTCTAAAGATTAATTTTTCTTCTAAAGTTTCATTAGACATGAAAGCATTTAGTATTTCACAAGGGAAATGATAGAAATCTTAAAGTTTTTTTTTTTTTTTATATCACTTTTTTGATCCTTTACATTTATCTTGTGACCCCTGAAATGACCCCTATGTTGAGAACCACTAAAATATTACTGTTTTATTTCTACTGACTGTAGTTGTAGTGACATTCTATGTCAGGTCAACAATTTTTAGATTGTGATTTTGTGTCCAAGAGCAATTGGGGATATGACTTGTCAATATGCAGCCTCACAGACGGGGCATCTTTAGTGTTCACCTGTATTATTAGAATGTTTAAGAGTTTCACAAAGCCCCTAAAAATGCTGTATCTTCATTTTGTTTAGTAAATGATGTGTATTTTGTGTACCAGCGTCTGCCAGATTTGAAACTTTTTATTGGGATCAATGTCAGATGCTTAAAAATGAAAAAAGTACATTGTGGGTGATCTTACTTAATTACAATCGCAGTTTCTAGTCATAGTTAGTGTAATCTGCTGAACAGTGGCCTTTAAAGACAAACCTGAATGAATCCAACTGAGTGTATTTTAGGAATGTCATTGAAGTTTTTGTGCCATGAGTCCCACATTTGAGTTTAAAGATGTGAAATGTTACATTTTAGAGCATCTTTTCAGGCCAGTTTCTGACTAAATAAACCACCGACAACCTTCAGACTGCAGAAAGTCCAACACAAGCTTATTGTACAGCAGGATGACAAATATTAGTAGAAGATCTGTACTACTTATTGAGCAATGAAAGTTTAAATTTTGCAGCAACAACAAAAAAAAAACCCTTGCACTCTTTTTGTTTTTTATTTTATTTTTTTGCAGTTTTGAGGCACCATTATCTCATAAACATCCCTATGGATCGTCACAACCTAATCAGAGCTATTTAGAGAAAACTACATACATACAGACGAAAAATCGTAAATTTAGAAGTGACTGTAGCTTGATTAACAATTTACCCATGGCTCTAATATTTCAGATTTCTTCATCCTCTTTCTGAAAAAAATAGCAAAATAAAACATTTAAGGTGGAAAAATTTTAAAAAGAAAAAAAAAAAGGCTTAATTGACTTGAAATAGCCCAGTTACCATTTATTGGACCTGTTTTATTTACTGTCAGGTAGTTACATCTGTACCATTATGTTTTATTTTTTAACCCTAGAATCATTGCAGTATATAAGGGAGTAAAGGCTGTATTAATAATTCATAAATCCACAAGACTGTACCTGCTCTAGAGTGTAGCATGGAACTACGTGAGGCAGCTTCACATCTACCATCCACATGCATGCAGAATGTGTGAGCACCTGTGTGGTTCACATTCATGCATCTACGTAGAAACGATCATAAACGTAGAGGTTTGTTGCTTGCATACAAATAAGAGTAGATTCTTCCTCATCTCAAGTGCTTGCTGCATGCGAGGCATCACGCACACACAAATAGCCTTCAGATGGCACACACCCACAGCAGCGTGCATGTCACTGATAAATATGCATCTGCAGCTCTTTCACTGCACAGTGTCTCGTAGCTTATCACCGGCGTGCAGATGTGTAAAACCTGTACAGTTAATATTTTATCCTGACTTCTAACTCATCTAAGTATTTTCCAGAATGAGTCTGATATGTTGCATGAAGGTAAAAACAGTACAAACCACAGTTACTCCTCCACAGGTGTTGACACAAAGCTAATTATGCAGGTAAATATAAGAAAAACTAAATCAGCGCTACCTGACCTCAGGTTAAGCTGAGTAGAGACCCAATTTTCTCCCCGTTACTAAATGACACTGTCACATTTTCACACAAAGAGCACGATAATTAAAAGCACAAGCACATTCCCACCGGAGGCTGCTCAGTTCTCCTTTTTCTCATCTGGGCACAGATGACAACAGGTACTCTGGTATCAAAGGTTAAACAGATGGTTGCGCAGGATTCAGCAAACTGAACATCTGATACTAGGTTTGGTGTGTGAAGCAGCTTTTTGCTCATTTTCTCTCTGTCCGTATTGTCTTTCTCAGAGGACATCCTGTCCAGGGACTCTGGGGAATGTACCATCTGTTTAGACGAGCTGGAGCAGGGAGACACTATTGCCAGGCTGCCCTGTCTCTGTATCTACCATAAGGGGTAAGAAATACACACAAACAGACGAAAACACATTAAAAAATGATACATTTACACAGTATATTTACACACATTATAAATGACACGTGTCCTGATGAATATTTTAAAAGAACAGATGCCATTTTTGCATATATTAATGTTTTTGGTGAGACATAGATGGGAAGTTATTACCGCTTTCCTGCTCAGAAGCCAATTAAAAAAAAGTCTAATTAAAAACTGCAGTTCCTCAAAATTCCATTGGAGGCTGCCTCGAAGTGCAAGTCAGTACTCATAGACCCACATGTTAAAATGTCCAACTTTACAGTGGAAATAACCACATTTAGGGCCTGAGGCAAAACATTATTTTGGTCTCTATAGCTAATTTCCATGTTAACTTGCTTATTTAAACTGTGTTACACTTTAAAATGATTTAGTTGTTTTGCATTTAAGGGCATGGTCACTTTGAGTAACAGGTGTTTACCATCACAGGACAGTCTGTGGCCCAGAGACTTTAACTTTACAATTTGATGCATGTAGTTGAAGAAGAAGTTTTATTGTCATTGTACAAGAATACAACAACATTTCGTTTGTCATCATCTTTGTAGTAGCTAATATGGTCACAGTTGACAGAGGAAAAAAAAGTGAAAAGGTGATATAAATAATAAAATAGCAATTAAATAAATACTCTATTAAATTTATGTATGATATATATATTTGTATATTTATATGAAATACTAAATTATATGTAGCGTGCCAAGCAGAGATGTTAGTTGACCTTTTCCTGTTAAATCTGATTCTAATCGAGTTTTTTTTTACCACCACTGTTTCTGAGCAACAACACATTCGGCTCCATATTTCCCAGTTCAGCTGTGACAAAGCAGACGACTGGGATTTTTGGGGGAGTTTTTTTAAGGGGAGAGGCAGGATATGTGTCATACAACCACCATCTTTAATGGTGCAGATTTCTCCCACAGATTTAAAAATGTATGACAGGTGCTGACCTGCCATCAGCACAAACAAAAGTTTTTTTTTTAAAAAAACGTAACGCAAATGCTGAACATTTTTAGTCTTAACATAGAAATCACTAAAATGTGTGTGAACCAAATCAATCAGGTTTCAGCTGCACTTGACTGTAATGATTAAAAAAATGTTTATTGTAATACAGCCAGATGGAGAAGCACTGATTCAATGTGTTTATAGCTTTAAAATATTTCAATATCAAGTGTCCCAGACGGGAGCACAACTTAAATAAAAGGGAGGAAATTACACATTGTCTCATGTACTGTTGGAATATGTATTTGAAGGATAGTTATACATTTTTGGGATACTCTTGTTTGCTTTTTTGAAAAGATAAGAGGTTTGCTGCTACTGTAATTTATTTCTGTATACTAAATATAAAGCTACCACAAGCAGCTGGTTAGCTTAGCTTAGCTTAGCAGTAGGATTGCAGAGAAACGTAGCTAGCCCGCCTCTGTCTAAAGGTAACGAAATCTACAAAATTAGAGATAATATGTTAATTTGTGGGCTTTTAGAACTTCATTAATTTTCTTACCATTGGACACGGCCAGGGCAGTTCCTTTAATTAGATTTAATTTATATTAAGTTAACTCCTGTTGACTAACTAATCTGATGTTGATCCTCTCGAGTGCAGGAACTTTTAGCAAGAAGAAGCACATTTCGCATAATTTAAAACTTTTCCTTTACAGAGACATTTTGATTTAAACAACCGTCATCATGTATGAGTATGAGAATCACAGCTTTTCTACATGTACTATTGTAGATACTCAGTAAATTATCCAATCAAGCAGACCAAAATGATACTTGGTGAATAAAGCACACAGGCGTAGGGGTAATTACATGTTACTGTTGTGGCGATATTGGTGTCATTATTAGTATCAGCTGATTAAGACAGAATGAGTTGGAAAATATTGACTTATGAGATATCAGCAAAAATCCAATATTGTGTGTTCCTAGAAATGTGTTTATCACTGTGTTTATTTGTGTTTGCTAGAACTAAATATTATTCCAGCTCAGTTTTCTACTTCCTTTTACCACAGAAGTAAAAAAAAAAAACTTCCCTGTTACCTTCTTTCAGGTGCATAGACGAGTGGTTTGAGGTGAATCGCTCGTGTCCGGAGCATCCAGCCGACTAGAAGCTTCAGAAGTACAGTTTTCAGCCTACAGGACATCGCTGTGGTCGACTGTGCACCGTCACCTCATCCCAACACTGTCTGTTCCAGCCGAGCTTCAGCGCTCCTCAGGGATTGTAAGATATTATTGTGTGCAGAATTCTTCATATCGCCTCATGGAACATCGACGGACTTTGGATGTGTTCCTCCGGATTTCATAGGATTTTAAAAAGAACCACTGGTGGAGCCACTTTGTCTCCAGAAAATATGTGAATGTTCCTTATGCCATCTGCTGGCCTGAAGTGGATTCATGCAACCTGGATTCTGAAGTGTTGCTGAACAGGGTGTGGTTTTGTAGCAGAGGACGTGTGTGGCCAACACGGTGGTAGCCTGACGCCTGTTTTCAGTAGAGACGCTCAGAGACTTAATCAGAAGGCTGATGTTGTGCAATATGAAAAACAGCCATACAGAGTAAAAAAAAAAATGTATCAGCTTTAAGGGATGATTGCAGTGTTGATGGTAGTCAGGAAGTAGATCTTAATTTCAAGGCAAAATTGGCTGTCAATATTTGTTTGTCAAACAATCATGTGTCTTAGACCAAATAGTCTAACATGAAGTGGTTGGACTTTGTTAATCACTTTGCCATTTAGAACCACAGTAATGTGATTGTGTAGTTTAGTGGTGGAATTAAAGTAGGTTAAGACATATCTAATGATGATTCATGTTGTCTCTAAGGAGTGCCATAATATGCTGCTATGTCATAGACTGGAAAGTTTTCCTATAACCTTTGAACCTTTCTTCGTTGTTCTTTCTATTTGTACTGTAATGAACTGCACAACAATAAATGTTTTGTCTTTGTGTCTCTTTCCTGCATAAGAGCTGGTCTACATTTCTGCACTATATATTTTTATATACTAATTGAAATAAGTCTTCACCACAATTTAAAAATCCGCAGGAGTGTGCGACATATGCTCGTATCTATCTGATATGAACAGACGAGAGGAACGTGAAGGAGAAAACTGAAGCAATTAAAAAAAAAAAAAAAAAAAGATTTATAAAGTACTTGGTTGTGTAATTTATATAAAGTCTAGAGTTTAGCTTTGAAAGCCTGTGTTGTAGAATTGCAACTATTACAATTCAAAAACAAGACAGCGGATTGCTTCCATCAGCAGACAGAAGGCAGTGGAGGTGCATAATGTCTCTTTGGAAGTGGGCATGCTGGGACACGAAGTTTCAAGTGTTATTTCTGTTTGTTGCAAAATGAGCAGTCGGAGGAAACGCAGTCTTTCCTTTGACTGTATTTGGTAATGCATGGGTGACACAGAAGGTGTTCTTGTAATAGCAAATAGCAGTCTGCAAGAAAGAACAGCAGTTGAACTATTTTCATCTGAGAATTTCTTTCCTCATACTTATGTTACTGTGAATTTTAATACCAGTCCGGGAGCTAAAAAGAAAGTCGTGCTGAATGATTCACCTTACATAAGACAAAGACAAACCAGTCTTTCTTGATACCAATTAGGGTTAAATGATTTCGAGGAAATATGTAATTGTGATTTTTCTGGCACATTTTGCGATTTGATTTCCAAAATCGTTTCTTAAGGTCAAGGTTTAGTTCAATATTTGCTATGTAATGGTTTTACAATGTGATGAAGCATTACCGCGTGAGACAGCATTAAAAGCATGACTATATATAGAAAGACAATAAATATTTATTAGTTGTCATATCAGTTTAAACCCTGGGTCAGACGTGCTGCAACACATGTACCAGGTGTGGCTATTAAATAAAGAGCGTGGGCCTATGTCGGTCAAACCAGATCTGCCAATAGACAGCATAAACATTCCCTAAAAGTTTAAATCTGCTTAAAAATAGCTTACATATACATAATTTAATAGCCACACCAGTGTATCCTAAACTGCAGCTTTTGCAATTTGCTAACTGCATCGATTCAAATTGTGATTTTAATTTGAAATCAATTGTTTGTTCAGCCCAAATATTAACTTATATAAAGATGGTCTTACTTTGGTTAAGCGGCACTTCCATAGGAGGTTTTGGTTCATTTGACATTTGAAATTCTTCTAATTTATAAATGCATGTAAAGTATCTAAGAAATTAGTGTTTTGCATAAAATAATTAATTTTCTTTGTTTCTTAATAAATCATAAAATAATTTTATTTGCTCTTTAATATTGTGTTCACTTATTTATTCTTATTCATCTAATCGACTTATCCCTGACTGGGTTTTAAAGTGTCCCCTTGATTAAACGTTTTATCATTGATGTAATTTTGTATTTTAAAAGCTTTCAATGTCAACAAGTAAACAAAAATGTATGTGGTTCATAGATGTGACGTCAGCACGGCGCGTCCACACTGTGGCTGATTGATGACGTACAGACACGAACCATTTGCGACCATTAACTAGCAAACAGAAGCAACAATCAAAAAAGTTAGCAATATTTTTAGAGCTACGAACTACGTTTTTTACCACACGGAGCATTTATCTCGCCAAATAACCCGATTTCGTTTGTATTTTAAGGTGAGTGTTTCCAAATTGTCTGTCAGTTCTTTCTAAAAAGGTTTTCATGTCTCCCTCCTTCAGCTAACATTAGCTAGTGGCTAACGCCAACAGACTGAAAACCTTAGATCCTACTCACACAATAAAATCTTCCTGTTGCTGGTACGTTACAGTCTCTCGTCTTCATTTTCAGCTTGGGAATCGATAACTTTGGATCAAGATGTCGTACATGTTACCACATCTCCACAATGGCTGGCAGGTTGACCAAGCCATCCTGTCTGAGGAGGACCGAGTCCTCGTCATCCGCTTCGGACACGACTGGGACCCAACGTGTATGAAAATGGACGAAGTTCTTTACAGCATCGCTGAGAAGGTTAGATGAGTTTGGAATGTACATTGGTGTGCGCCGGTGTCTTGCCAAAAAGTCTCTGAAAACTGCTGTTCGCTAGAGCTGCTGTCTTCATGTCTCTGCAGTATTTTGCCTTCTGTGTGCCTCATAGTAGAACAAACCCTGTTATTGTTACTGGTTGAAATGGCTATAAAGGATATATAAAACTCATACCATGCATTTTTCCATCTACCAAAAAGTAACTGCAGCCCCTATATGGTGACTACACAAAAATGACTTGATTTCATTCATGAGGGTTACGTTTCATAGATTATAGCTCATAACATATTTACATAAGAAACAATTTCTTCATTATATACAAAACCCATCTATAAATCATGTTAATTACTATGTAAACAAGCATATTAGCCTTACCAAACACATACGGCCTAAACCAAAACATCTGAAACACTACTACAGTATTGCCTCTGATATAATCTAATGTCATGCCTTATTATGCTGTAAATTGCGAATAGTTTTTGGTCACAATTATTTGGTTCCAAAAAATGTTTCCCAAAAACTCACTTTTGTTTATACCACAGACACATAAGTGTCTATTTTCATACTATGGCTGTTTGTTCCACTTGAACAGCTGTAAAGAAACAATCCTGTCAGCCGCAATCACTTTTGGCAGACAGTCACATTTTGACACCACACCTGGACAGTTAGAGCATTTTGTTTGATAGGCTGCATTATCTGAACCTGCTTTGTAGCTGGTCAATTGCTCTGTCACTAACTGAACTGCAGTTTAGGATAGGTTTAAACCTAAAAAAACAAAAACAATTTGTTTCTGTGCCACCTTTAAAAACTAGAGTTACAAGTAAAGCAGTATTGAAACAATAGCAAGGTAGTAAATCATAATAAAGAAAAGAGATCAATGAAAACGTTGTAAAAAAAATAAACTAATAAAAGATGACAAAATCTTACAAAAACATGTCTGTGTAGGTGGGTTTTTAAAAAACTTTTATAAGTGAGGCACTGACTGAGCTGTTCTGACACCAAAGAGGAGTTTGTTCCACAGCGTTGAGGCTAAAATAGTTCAAACGTAGTTCAATTTTGTTGAAGTCTGGAATGTAGGATTTTTAGCTACAACTGATTCTTTGAACCAAGGGGTCAAGAAACAGAATAAGGGGTTAAAACTTTTCAGATGTACAATGGAGCCAGACCATGTAGAGATTTTAGAATTGATCACTAGAATCTTAGATTGAACTCTATAACAAACAGGGAGCCAGTGTGGTTCAGCCATGACTCCACCCCTTTTTTGAGTGACTTGCTCGTGTGTTTTAAAAGAATTGCAAGTGAGCAATTGGTGCATAGTTTCGGCAGGTATATAATAAGTTCCCGTAGTTAATTACTTCATTGCGTAAACGCCATTGCAGTGTCCATAGAATCACATATTTTTTTAGTCTGGGACTTTTTTGTGTCCTGTAGAAATCTCCTCAATTTCTATTGCTGTCATTTATTTTGAGTTTTAACTTAAACCAGCTGCAGACACTGGCTTAACTGAGGTTTAAGTTCAGAGTACAGGGTTGCGTTTATACAGGTCAGATGATAATATGAATTTCAAATTGCAAATGTAAATCTTTTACCATGTATGCTCTTTTGGCAATACAATACAAACCTAATACTCTATTATAATCCTATAATATTTGTGCAGCCAGAAACAGGGTTACAGGGTCACAAGTCCAGTGCCTGCAAGGTCATGTAGTCAGTTTTCCACCAAGTGTATCAACATGTATTTTTAAACCAGTAAACAGTAAATAATACTGTATTTGACAGATTATTGATACTGCGTCAGATTTTAGGGAAACAAAGTGGCAAATATGCTGTGATGTGATGTGATTTCTATATTCTTATCTATTTGCATCAAAATAACTTATTCAACTACTGAGCTAGCTATGACAACTGGAAGTGCATGTTGTCTGTCAAGAGAAGGTTTTCAGATAGGACAAATCTTAGCTGGGCGTTGGTTGATCTAATGACTTTATATTAAGACTGTCAAGGTTGGCAATCCCAATAATTAGGTACATCGCTCACTGAACATCACACGTGGTGCAATCGTTCACTCATATTGATGAATTGTACGATAATGTGGATATGTGAGCAACTGTGGAAACAGTAGAACACAATGCTCCAGGGAATGCTGTTCAACAATTAGGTGTGATTTTATTTGTAAGTGGCAGTTCATCTTGCACTCAGAGAACTATGACAACACTCAATATTACCTATGACAGTATTTAACAAATGGGGAAAAAAGATTTCTGTTTTTTTCTCTCTTTTCTTTAAAGTTCAAATATTCAGCCGTCAAAACCAACAGGAACATTTGTAGTTTATGTTTTGACTTGACCCCGTGCTCAAAATCTCAGAAACTCTTATGAGAGTTCTTTCCTGAGACGCTGTAGATTTTTGCTATTGCAGATTATATAACATCTGCTGAAGAGATGTGAAGTTCCCTCACTGTGTTCACAGCTCTCAGGGGTTTATTGCTAATTTTACAACCAAAATTATCATTACGGTATGTTATGTCGGATCCAGTCAGCAATTTGTAGATCATTTTCAGGAGAGGCTGCCCAAAGCTATTAAGTCTTAAAAAGCTGACTTCTTGCTATAATTTTAACGGATAAAATCTATATTCCTGCAGGCTTATGCAAGCTTGCCTAGTCGTTTAAAACCACTGCACTGGAAAGGTGAAAAGTTTGAGGTAATAAAAAATCAGAGGAGGTTTGCTACCACGAACGGTAGCTTAGCACCAACTTTTATAAGTAGGTCATCATGCTCGTAATGTGTCATGGGACAAATACTGTCTCTTACATGCGTGACAGTGTGACCCGACAAACCAGGTGTGTGTTCTTAATAAAGAATCCTCAGTCCAAGAGAAATGTTTTCTTGTTGTTTGGTTCTGGCTGGGGCTGCAGGGTGG